GGCTAAAAGGGCCATGAATGGTAAATAAAGGCTTTGTCAGACTTCCGACAAGGCATGTGAATAGAACTGTATTGGAAGTTGAACAATTCCTAAGGAATAATGATCTCAGCTAGGGAGCGTGATGAAAAGCAACGGAAGCTCAGACCTCATGCTGGAGACTTAGTGACCGAGACGGGACACCCGCAGATCAGGTACGCAGGGCCCTTGGGATGTGTGCTGTTAACTGATGTGGAGTCGTGGGCCAAAACGGACGAGGAGATTCTGGCTGGGTGTCACTGGGATCACCAAGTCTACTAAAGCTCCCCATCAAACCACCAGGAAAATGTTTCTGATAAAAATCCCATCCCCCCTAAATCTGAGTTTATTAGAAACATTCCAGGCCAGGGGGCCACTGACCTAATGAATTCCATCATATTGTTTCCTCAGATAGTTTGAGTGCTTGGGTTTTATAAGGCTTTTTTTTTTGGCAAAGCATCCTAGGAGAGTTTTAAGGCAGGAATGATTAAGACCAGAATCTGGACAGAGATTGATAACAATCTGTAAATTAGACCAGTTGCTGAAATAGTCTTTGCTTAAACAGCTTGTCTATAGTCTCATCTTTCTGGAACACAAAGCCAAGCAAACTGTTGCTGAGTCCTGTGTGGAGGAGCATGGGGTTCCATTGGTGGAACTCAGGCCGAAGCTAGAGGTATTCAGGCTTTTTCAGAATTTCCAGAAAAGCTACAGAACAAATGGGTACCTCGCTTTTGTTATATCACCTCACTGTGTGCATGGCTCCACCCTCTCCCTCTGTATCCTGAATCATCATACTGCCACTATATATGTTTATTCACTGGAACTGCAGGGCACAAAACCTCTCTTGTTCCCTCCACTTCTTTCCCCTTGATCTCCTCTCAGCTGATGGACTCTTGTGCAGTCCTGTGTTTGGGAAATAGCACAGATCACGGATGGGCAAGAGAGACCAGCCCACCCTCCTGCAGTGGCTTCAAAGCTGCCTGCTCCTGGACTGAGGTCCACGTGGTAGCATCTTCCTGTCTCAAACTGCCTGGAAAGCCAGCAGTGTCCTCTACCCCTGGGAGCATGTTCTGTCTTTAAGGGGATGTGGGACCCTAACCACACAGAACAGCAACACACACGAAAGGAGAGACATGGTTACTGGTTGCATGTAAATCTTGATTAAAGGCAAGGGACTTCCCGACTTATCTGTTCCCCAATAGCAACACCATGGTATAGCCAGTTATCCCTAGGGTAAGCTGCCAAGAAAAAATGAGGGCTATTTGGGGTAATCTGTCAAAATTTATGCTGAGTTGCAGAGGGGCCAAATTGTTTGCTAAATAAGCAGGGAACATGGTTGTCTTACTTTTCTGGGACTACCATAACTAATGATTGCTAATGATTGCAAACTAGGTAGCTTAAAACATAGAAATCTCTTCTCTCAACTTCTGGAGGCCAGAAGTCTGAAATCAAGGTGCCTCAAGTGCTGAGCAGTGTCTGAAGATTCTAGGGGGCCTTTCCCTCTAGGGGGCTCTTCCAGCTTCTGGGGGCTGCTGGTGTTTCTTTGCTTGGTTCTGTATCCCCCCGTTCTCTGCCTCGATGGTCACAATGCCTCCTCTTCTTTTTCAAAACTACTCTGTCTTACAAGGGTGTATATAAATGATGCCACTTAGGGCCCATCCAGATAACCCAGGATAAGCTCCCTACTCAAAATTCTAACTTGATCACATCTTTTGCATTAAAAGATGACATTTATACTTTTGCCATATGTATTACTCAGGCTGGAATCTCCAAAGAAACATGAACCCATAGGGTGTGTGCGTGTATGTGTGCACACATGTGTCTACACACATGAGAGGGAGGGATTCATTCACTCAATTTTGGAGGCTGGCAGGTCCAAAAACAGCTGAGCAGGCCAGCAGATGGGACCCCAGGGAGACTTGATGTTACAGGTTGAGTCTGAAGACATTCTGGATGGTGATGTCAGTAAATGGCAGGATGGGAAGTCCCAGCCCTGGTTTTTGCTTTGCATAGAAGCACCAGTTTGGCCGAGGTCAAGAACCCAGCTAAGGAGATGCAGCACTCCATAGAAGCACAAAGCTGGGAGAAGCTGCAGGGCAACAAAGAGAGGGATCTTCTCCAGAAATGGGGAGGATTCTAGGGCAAGGGTGGCTGTCATTCATGGGGAAGGACAGTCAGGAAGAGAAACATGTGTCTGGAGCTCTGACAATGTTCTAGGCAGGTGGCAGATTTTCAGGGACCTAATAAACTGGGGAGGTGAAGTCTCTACTAGCCTGAGTAAGATGACAGAGAGAGAGAGAGAGGAGAGGGGGCAGGAAGGCATGCTCAGGGGCCCCCACATGTGAGGGGCAGAGAATAAGTAAAGGGCCTGTGGGGGAGAGAGACTTGCATGAAGAGCTGAAAGAAGAGAAAGAGGCAGTTGTGCAGGGGACAGAAGCACTGATGGCCATGGGAGAGGGGCCCCTGGCCCTGAGGAGACACACCCCGGGGGCCAGTGTAGCAGAGCAGGGAGAGGGGGCTGGGCTGGGGATGAGGTCAGGGGCAACGGGGCCCGATCCTGCCAGAGACGCTCCATGGGGGCTGCTCACCAGACTCACCTTGGGGTCTCACTAGAGGCAGCAGCTCCATGCAGACATCTCGGGTACCAAAAAAGTTGGTTTTCATCGTCACTTCTGCTTGAATAGGTAAGGGTGTGGGATCATTGGCTTTCAGGGCAGTAAGAGACCAGAGTTACTAAATAGCAGCCATTTGGTAAGAATCCATTTTGACAAAAACCTTACTTTTTTGTGAAATCTGGTGACTTCTAAGTAAAGTCTGGGTCCAGTTAACAATATCGTGTCTATGTCAATTTCCGGCCTCTTCAGTGCTGTATAGTGTGTAAGGTGGCCCCACTGGGGAAGGCTAAGAGAAGGGGCAAAGTGCCATCTCTGGGCATCATTATTTGCAATTTCTTGTTTATTTCTGAATAAGTTAGAAATCCACCAAACTGCTCCGAGAGAAACTGTGACAACCAGGAAAACATCCCCAGGAGCTGAGCCAAAGAAACACAAAGGTCCCTCTGGCTGGGAAGCCCTCCAGTTCCCACTGGACTCTGCTCTAGCTGCACCCGTCCCTCAACCCCTCCTCTCCTCCTTCCCTAGGGAACCATTCTGTGCCCCAAGGCAGGAGAAGCCCCCTAGCAGCGATCTGCAGACAGATCCAGCCCATCCTGGTTGGGGGTGTTCAGCGTGATCTCCTAGCCCATCCTCAGAGCCCCCAGCCCCTCCTTACTCCTGAAGGTGATGCCCACTGGGGTGTTGACCAGCACGTCGAGGCCCCCGTACTCCTTGAGCAGGAAGTCCCGCAGGGCCCGGATGCTCTGCAGGTTGCAGATGTCCAGCAGGTGGAAGTGTGGGCTGAGGCCCTTGGCCTGCAGCTGCTGCATGGCAGCCTGGCCCTGCACCGGGTCCCGCGCCATAAGCACCACATGCCCCAAGAACTACTGACACAGGTGATGCCCAATGCAGAAGCTGATGCCCTTCTTGGCCCCAGTGACAAGAGCTATGCGGGTTCTGACCATGTGGCTGGGCAGGGGGTATGGGATGATTGTGTGGAGAGTGGATGGGGCTGTGGGTCAAGGTAGGTGGTGGGGACAAATGGTACATAGGCCTGGTCACAGAGAAGGTGCACAAAAATAGATTATGATCAAGTGCAGGGACTCCTAGAGGCCCAGGTCCTCCCTTGTAAGGTTAGGTCACTACCCTGCTTCAGGGACGATCAGTTTTCATTCCCCTAATCCTGAAAAATCACTGGTAAAGAAAGTAATCATGAGAGGAGAGGTGTCTTTTCATCTTTTCTTGGATGCTTCTGTGAGGGGAGGCCCATGGGGTGCCCTCCCCGGGGCCCAGGGGGCCAGGCTTGGTGTTGGGCAGGGAGAAGCATCTCCTCACTGCCCTGCTGTTAGGACCACTTACAGGCACTCACATTAGAACATGCTTTCCTTTCCTATGTGCTTCCAGCATTTTCATTTGTATCAATACATTCAATCTCCACAGCAATTCTATGGTTTTTATGCCCATTTCACAGTTGAGGAAACTGAGATTCAGTAAGATGCAGTAGTTTTGTCAAGGTCGTGCAGTAAGGTGGCAGAGTCAGTTCTTCAACGTTTTTAGATGTTGGTCTGAAAACTTTCACACAGAAACGTTGAAAGAATAGTAGTGTAGTTATTTATACAGCCACCAACTAGATTAACAATAGAATGTTCTCACTGCAGTATGTGTTCAGCTTCTACATATTGCTTGCGAACCTCATTTATGTTGCAAAACTCCTGACACTCACTCCCTGGGTAAGTAACACATTCACATCGAAGAGATTTGATAACCATTCTCTAACACTCGCTAATGCCCAGTCCATAGTCAGTTTCCCCACCATCTCCGGTTTCCTTGTGGACGTGTCTTTCACACAAGAGCCCTCTCACATTCACACTTGGCTGTTGGTTTTTTTTCCCAGTGGGTTTGGTGTTAAATTGAGCACACTACATTAGATGCCTCCCCTTCATGGTGATGTTCAGGTAATTCTAGGGGCTGGTAGACTAAAGGCAGCAGGCCCACCAGCCACGCTCATTAATTTATATATTGTCTCTGGGTACTTTTGTGCTATAACAGCAGATTTGAATAGTTCCCACAAGACTATGTAGCCTGCAAAGCTGACAAAATTTACTATGTGGCTCTCTGTATAATGTTTGCTCATCCCTAAGTTACCCTGTTCCTTCTCTTGACCTAAAGTTCAGGTCTATTACATACCTGAGCTGGTTGGCATGTGAACAGTCTGTGCAAGTGCCCATTTGGAAAGAATCGTTTATTCATCTAAGATTTTTATTCATTGTTATCATCTTTCCACTTGTTTCCCCCTATATCCCAGAGATATCACAGCTCAATCAATCCCAACTTAAAGGGAGTACTCCAAGGGCTTAAACTTATTTCTCTCTTTTTTTTTCATGGTCAAAAATAGGGCTATTTTTGACATTGTACATGTGCTTTTGACCAAATCAAGGCAGTTCACATAATTGGAGCCACGGAGGGAGCTCGGAGCTGGGTTCCCATTGCTCAACTTTCTTCTCCATGACAAACTGTCCGTGAGGCCCATCAGCATCTGAGGGTAAAAGGGCCAAGTACACGGGGGTCTCTGCTCCTTCTTCTGGGCTTTTCAAGGCCTTGGGTCCCCCCAGGTTGGTTCTCACCCATCCGGGGCAGCAGGAATTCAGGAGTATCTTGTCCCCTGTCCTCTGCTCACTCAGTTTCCGGGCCTGGATTCTGGACAGGACAGTGATGCCGAGCTTTGTCACTGCATAGGAGGTAAAGCTCAGATGTGGCCAGCCCTCCTTCAAGTGCACTCCATTCTTTGTGTCTTCCACGAACTTATTCATGAGCCTCACCAGCTCCTCCTCTGTGATGGTCTCACTTGTAAACTTCTGCTGCAGTTCTGGGCTGCAGCTTTTAAGAGCTACCAAGCTCAATAGGCCAGATAGATTCACCACTCTGCCTAAAATTCAACACATATTGTTACATAGAAGGGCATGCACAAGAATGATAAATTACCAAATTGCTAGGGTTTATTCCATTAGAGAGACAATTACTAGTTGCTATGAGAATTAATGAAGACTGCCTCTCTGAGTTCAGGAGAAGATATAGTCTTGAAAATTTCATACCTAAACGTCTTAGAGGATGCCAGTGATATGTTCTAATGGAGAAGGCAGTGCCCAGAAGTTCCATAGAAAATGAAAACGGTTAACATAGGAGGTGCTAAGTGGAATGTAAGGCCAGGCTTATTGCATTCATGAGAAGAAATCCTCTTTCCCCCTAAGGCTGCCCTGGGTCCACCTGTGAATGTTACAGTCACAGGGTCCATGCTCTGTGAACAGGTGTCTCCTGACCAACAAAGAGCTGATGGGTTTAGTGATGGCGGTTCCAAGATGAATGCACAGCACCTGGTTTGGAAGGCAGCTGCTCTGCTCTCGCCAGGGGAAAACAACACAGCTCAGTGGGCTGAAATGCATGCTATTTTCTCTACATTTTGGCTTTTATCAGTCGGTGAGTATTGACTAATGGCCGGCAATATGGTCACAGAGAAGGGCAGTGGAGAAGTGGGCAATTAAAGAGATACTAGAAAAAGAAATGGACTATTGAGAAAAGAAATGAAATACTGATGCATACTACAATATGAATGAAGTTTGAAAATAGGCTAAATTAAAGAGGCCAGTCACAAAAGATTATATTATATGAATCTATTTATATGGGATGTCTAGAACAAGAACATCTAGAGACAGAATGTAGATTAGTGGCTGCTTAGGGACAAAGGAATGGGGGAACAGACCGTTGATAGCTAAGGGAACTGGGTTTCTCTTTTGGGGTGATGAAAACATTTTAATATGAATGTTGTGATGGGTCCACACCTGTGCACATGTACTAAACATTAATGAATATAATTCAAATGGGTGAAGTATATGGTATGTGACTTATATTTCAATAAAGCTTTTACAGTATAGAGCAATGACTCAATTCCTACCAATTTTTTTGGAAAACATGGTATTAAAAAAAAATGAAGTTATATGAACATGTATAAAAACTAGTTTACTATTTTTATATTTAAATGACTATTTTAAACATTATAACAAAGTCATGAGATCATACCACCAATAAGAGATCAAGAAAATTAGAAAACTCTCTCTTTTTATTGTGAATATCCAGAAAAGGCTGTCATCATCAGCTAACTTTGAGCTATACCCCACTAAGGGAGTCTCTGTGCAAAGAAATCCAACAGAAAAGATAATCCATGAAAGTAGGACTCACATTAAATGATCTTTTGAGATAGTTGAAGTGAATTACAGAAATTATCTGATTAACCTTGCAACAGTCTTCTAAGATGAATGTGTTTTAGAAATCGGTCGAAGTCTCCAGTCCTTCCTTTCACTTAGAAAATGTAAAGTACAAGAATAAATAGAAATATTTGTCAAATGTTTTACTATGCTCTGCTCAGTGGTTCTAATATAATTATTTCATTTAAAAAAATATATCAGCCTTCATAATAAAAATAATACATGTTTCATGATGTAAAGTTGTATCACATAGAAAAGTATGTACGCAAAAAGACAGTAGGAGAGGAAGCCAGAGTGGGTCACTGGCATACCAGAAAGGCAACTGTGATTATTCATACGGTCTTGAAACCATTTTCTCATGTGCCTTTAGTGTAGACAGTAGATGGAGAAGCTATACTTTCTCTAGGCTATTTGTCCTCTGGGAAGAAGTGATGTTCTGCTTTCTGTTCCTTTTAATCTATCTCAAGAAGTCTATCAGCTGTGAAAATACTTATCTGTGTGCACTAGGGAAGCCTGACCAAGGAGGCCACAGGGCTTTGTGGGTAAATTCCTGGATGTAGGGCTGCATCCCAGTCTCTGTTCTACAAGCTATCCCTCCCACTGCCACATTCCCAAGGGGGTAGGGCAGCCTCCTGGGGGCCTCCCCTCACAGCTGAATGAGACGGTAAACCCTCATGGTCTGACAGCTCAGGACAGGGAACACACACGCAGAGTGAGTAGGAAGCATGGTGTTAGGTTACATAGCAAAGATGTGGGTTTAATTTTTTAAAAAAATCTGGAGTGTATTCTTGGCTCTCAAATGACATTTCAAGGGCACTGTACTTCAAGGGAATGCTTACAGCTAGTCCTTGAAGAAGTGTGATGGGCCATTTTGACATTATTGGACTAACGGTGTGTGTGTGTGTGTGTGTGTGTATGAAACAATTGCCCTTTAATAGTCATTCCACATAGAGAAGAAAATCATGGCATTCATCTAAGAAATTATCCTTTCACTGTTGGTGATAAACAGTTGATTCAGTCAATTAGTCTGTATATGACCAGGTAGTGATTTTAGGGAAGCCATGTTTTCCTTCAAAAGTGTAAATAAATGGAAACATAGGCCACATCTCGAAGGCTTAACCCTCAGTCTTGCTCTGGAACCCTGTGGAGATGACTGTCCCCTAAAGCTTCTACCCCTGCCTCTCCTCTTCCCTCCCCAAATTTAGTGTCCAAAACCAGAGCCAAAGTGAAGCAGACAAAAAGGGATACTGTAGACCTCATCTCACCCCCAGTGGTGAGATGGGTGGTTACAAGAATGTATACACATGACAAAATTCTCAGCTGTGAAAATACTTATCTGTGTGCACTAGGGAAGCCTGACCAAGGAGGCCACAGGGCTTTGTGGGTAAATTCCTGGATGTAGGGCTGCATCCCAGTCTCTGTTCTACAAGCTATCCCTCCCACTGCCACATTCCCAAGGGGGTAGGGCAGCCTCCTGGGGGCCTCCCCTCACAGCTGAATGAGACGGTAAACCCTCATGGTCTGACAGCTCAGGACAGGGAACACACACGCAGAGTGAGTAGGAAGCATGGTGTTAGGTTACATAGCAAAGATGTGGGTTTAATTTTTTAAAAAAATCTGGAGTGTATTCTTGGCTCTCAAATGACATTTCAAGGGCACTGTACTTCAAGGGAATGCTTACAGCTAGTCCTTGAAGAAGTGTGATGGGCCATTTTGACATTATTGGACTAACGGTGTGTGTGTGTGTGTGTGTGTGTATGAAACAATTGCCCTTTAATAGTCATTCCACATAGAGAAGAAAATCATGGCATTCATCTAAGAAATTATCCTTTCACTGTTGGTGATAAACAGTTGATTCAGTCAATTAGTCTGTATATGACCAGGTAGTGATTTTAGGGAAGCCATGTTTTCCTTCAAAAGTGTAAATAAATGGAAACATAGGCCACATCTCGAAGGCTTAACCCTCAGTCTTGCTCTGGAACCCTGTGGAGATGACTGTCCCCTAAAGCTTCTACCCCTGCCTCTCCTCTTCCCTCCCCAAATTTAGTGTCCAAAACCAGAGCCAAAGTGAAGCAGACAAAAAGGGATACTGTAGACCTCATCTCACCCCCAGTGGTGAGATGGGTGGTTACAAGAATGTATACACATGACAAAATTCATTGAGCTGTCAAATAAGATTTGTGCATTTTATTGTGTGTACCTCAATAAAGAACATATTTCAAAAAAGAAATATCCATTCACTCATTCTTCTAGATTCACAAAAGGTCAAGGTGGAAGATACCTTTAGTACCAGGATTTTCCCAATTTCCTCTTGATTTTTCAGATATTGGGGAGGTGAAAAGCAGTGCCTTTCCATCAGGGTGGAAGACATCGTCTTTAAAGGGTTACCTGCCAAGTGTAGCCTTAATGAGACTATTACCTCTTAGTACTTGGAAAACTATTATCTGATGAACAAGAGTGTCCAGATTTCTGATGTTTGCGTGATTCCTCAGAGATGGTTTTCCATTAACATCTTTTAAAAATGAAGGCAAATTATAATTCAAAGCCTGTCAGAGTTTTTCAAACTCAGGATGATGGTGACTTTGGGGTCACAGGAGGGATGTGAGATGATAAAGGGGAAGGGACTCAAAAGGCCTGGATATTGATTAATTGATAAAGCTAAGTGGTGACTCCTGGGCATTGTGGATTCTTATCTTTTGTGTGGCAAGAGTATTTGTGAATAACTTTTTCTTTTTTAAAGAAAGGAAAAAAAATGATAAGAAATCCAAATCAATAATACCTGAGTAATCCTTAAGGTCACTATATGCTTTCCATTCCCCTTCCACACCAAAAAACAAACCGAAAATTCCCCTTTTAGATAGTTTCTTCTCCCCACAGAGATTCTGTGGAAACCATTCCAGATTGTTCCTTGTGTCCTAAGTTCTGAGATACACACAGGGAGGGACAGAATTTGCTTTTGGTTACCTTAGCTAGGACCTCTCCCAGATTTTCTCCCCAAAGAGGGCAGAAGAAAGTCATGATAACATGAACTGCTGTGACTCCCCTTCTCCCCAAATAATGTGAGAACTCTCCTATTTTAAAGGTTTGAAAACCTTGCTGCCATACCTAAATATGGCATGTATTTATATTCCCATTAATTCTGACCAGGCTAACAGAGCTGAAGGACTTTTGGGAGGGAGTAAGCATGCAGAGAGTGCAGAGAATGCCCAGGAAGGAAAAGCCTCATGAAAGGGGAATTTAGGAGGGGTGACAGTTGTCCCAGAATGAAAGCTGAGCACCTGTCATACAGCAGAGCTAGAGGAGGAGGCCTGGGGAGAAACTCAGGTGGACAAGCCCTGGGACCTGGTTATTGGTAATAGAAGGAAGGCATGTGACCTCCAGGGTCCTGAGGCTTGGATTAGGTCAGACAGCAAGATGATTTGTGGAAAGGCAAGTGTGTTTTGGAAAAGTTTTAGATGTAGTGGATACTATGCGGAGGGTGGGCACGAGGAAGAGAAGAACAGGCAGCAGGAAATGTGTGTGTCAGGAGCTCTGCGAATGTTCTAGTTAGGAGACACAGCTAAAGGGGCTGGCTAGGAAACTGGGGAAGGGAAGGCTCTACTAGCCTGAATGAAATCACTGAGGGAGAGGGAGGAGAGAGGGCAGGAAGGCATGCTGGGGGCAAGTGAAGGGCCTGTCCAGGACAGCCTGACTACCGAGCTGAGGAAGAGAAAGAGGCAGTTGTGCAGGGGACAGAAGCACCGATGGCCACTGACGAGTGTGTAGTCCTGGGAGAGGGGCCCCTGGCCCTGAGGAGACACACCCATGGGCCAGTGTAGCAGAGCAGGGAGAGGGGGCAGGGCTGGGGACGAGGTCAGGGGCAGCGGGGCCCGATCCTGTCAGAGACACTCCGTGGGGGCTGCTCACCAGACTCACCTTGAGGTCTCACTAGAGGCAGCAGCTCCATGCAGACATCTTGGGTACCAAAAAAGTTGGTTTTCATCGTCACTTCTGCTTGAATAGGTAAGGGTGTGGGATCATGAGCTTTCAGGGGAGTTAGAGAACAAAGTTACTAAATAGTAGTCATGTGGGAAAATTCCATAGAATGAAAAAACATATTTTGCCTATGAAATTCTGTGAAATGTAAATAATCTCTATGTCCAGTTAATAGTATTGTGTCAATGTCAATTTTCTGGCTCGTCACTGCCGCACAGTGTGTAAGGCGGCCCCACTGAGGAAGGGGCAGTGAAGCACGTACAGTGGGATCTTTGTGCATCACTCTTTTTTTTTTTTTTTGAGAGGGCATCTCTCATATTTATTGATCAAATGGTTGTTAACAACAATAAAATTCTGTATAGGGGGGTCAATGCTCAGTGCACAATCATTAATCCATCTCAAGCCTAATTCTCGTCAGTCTCCAATCTTCTGAAGCATAACGAACAAGTTCTTACATGGTGAACGAATTCTTACATAGTGAATAAGTTCCTACATGGTGAACAGTACAAGGGCATTCATCACAGAAACTTTCGGTTTTGATCACGCATTATGAACTATAAACAATCAGGTCACATATGAATATGCGTTTGATTTTTATACTTGATTTATATGTGGATCCCACATTTCTCCATTTATTATTATTATTATTATTATTTTTAAATAAAATGCTGAAGTGGTAGGTAGATGTGCATCACTCTTTTTGCACTTTCTTCTTTATTTCAAAGTAGGTTGAATGTTCAACCAAGTGCCCCAAAGTCCACTCAGACTGAAACTGCAGGAGCCTGGAGGCGGCTGCTGAGTCTGATCTCCTTTACAGGAGAGTGTAAAGGTCATCTGTCTGCAAAGGTTTGTAAGTCTCAGGGGACTGCATGTCCCTGATACCTGGGGTCTGTCCCTCTTCCCTAGAGAGCCCCTTGTAGATACCATAGGAGCTAATGGCCCCACTGCAGTGGTTCAGGAAGAACCCATCCCACCCTGGCTGGACACCCTCCGGGAGGCCTCCCTTCCCAGCACCCAGCCCCTTCCTTACTCTTGAAGGCGATGCCCGCGTTGTTGACCAGCACGTCGAGGCCCCCGTACTCCTTGAGCAGGAAGTCCCGCAGGGCCCGGATGCTCTGCTGGTCACAGATGTCCAGCAGGTGGAAGCGCGGGCTCAGGCCCTTGACCTGCAGCTGCTGCATGGCTGCCTGGCCCTGCATTGCATCCCGTGCCGTGAGCACCACGTCCCCCGAGAACTGCTGGCACAGGCGGTGCATGATGGCCAAGCCAATGCCCCTGTTGGCTCCAGTGACCAGCGCCACACGGTTGCAGGATGACATGGTTGGGTGTGTGTGTTGGGCAGGGTGCTCGTCTGGACAGCAGACAGGCCTGTGAGCTGAAGAGGTAGAGGGGACACTGCTGCAGAGGCCCGGCCGCAGTCCAGAGAACCTGCTCAATAATGGCTTCCAGGAGGCAGTGCTATAATTCCCAGAGGGAGGAGCCCCGCCTGTGTCCCTCCCTCCAGGAGGAGCCAAGTATCCCGGAAGGATTCGTCCTGCCCCCTCCCTTGGTCGGCCTCTCCAGGTGAGGCCCCCTGGGCCCAGCAGGACACAGCACTCACGTGATCCCACTTCAGAGCCAGTAACACATTCTGGGTGAAGAGGTGCGCTTCCCCAAAGCAGCACAGGTTGGCGAGGGCTCAGTAGGAGGGTGAGAGTCAGGGCAGCGGAGGGACCCTGCTTTGGGAGGACCCCTGGGGAGCGGGAGCGGAGTGATGGCTGGGTCAGGCCCATCCCCCTGCAGAGTGGGTTTGCTTGCTCTTCCCCAAGAGGCAATGAAGTGACTTGGGCCCTGGAGGTGGTTCTGAGGACAGTGAGCCCCGGGCTTCCTTAGGAAGAGAGAAACTCAGGAGACAGAGTTAGGGACAGTGGGTCCTGTGATGGGACGGGTGCTGTGGGTGGGGCTGGTTCCCCAGTGTGAGCCCAGGTGCCCCCAGGTGACAGGGAATGTGTATGAGCTCTGCCTGGGTACTAAGCGGTTGATTGGAATGTGTCATTTCATGGTTACAGAATCCCTAGGTTTGCTAACAGTGCCCATTTTAGGATGTGACCTAGGTTAAAGTCAGTAAGTGGTAGGATATTTAGGTGCTACTTTTTTTTTTTTTTGAGAGGGCATCTCTCATATTTATTGATCAAATGGTTGTTAACAACAATAAAATTCAGTATAGGGGGGTCAATGCTCAATGTACAATCATTAATCCATCTCAAGCCTAATTCTCGTCAGTCTCCAATCTTCTGAAGCATAACGAACAAGTTCTTACATGGTGAACGAATTCTTACAGAGTGAATAAATTCTTACATGGTGAACAGTACAAGGGCATTCATCACAGAAACTTTCGGTTTTGATCATGCAATATGACCTATAAACCATCAGGTCAAATATGAATATTCATTTGATTTTTGTACTTGATTTATATGTTGATCCCACATTTCTCCTATTATTATTATTATTTTTATTTTTAATAAAATGCTGAAGTGGTAGGTAGATGCAAGATAAAGGTAGAAAACATAGTTTAGTGCTGTAAGAAGGCAAATGTAGATGATCAGATGATCAGGTGTGTGCCTATGGACTAAGTATTAATCCAGGCTAGACAAGGGCAGCAAGACATCCACGGATGCAGAAGATTTCTCTCAAAGCAGGGGGGGTGAGGTTCTGAGCCTCACCTCTGTTGATCCCCAAATTCTCACCTGATGGCCCCCCTGCGACTGTGCCTGTCTTAGGTTGTTCCTCCCTTGAGGAATCTTACCCGTCTCTGGCTAACCAGTCATCTTCCGGGGCCATACAGGGAAATGTAAAGTTGGTAAGTGAGAGAGAAGCCATATTGTTTGCAAAGGTTAGCTTTTTACTTCTTTGCAGATTTATGCCCTGTGGCTTCTATGCCCAGCACTTGTCTCGAGGTATCTTTACCATTAGGTGCTACTTTTAAAGTTTAAGAAAAAACAACATCTGTGTGATACCCGAATGCATTTAAAACTAGTAGCTGAGATGCTCTGGTCCTGACCTTGACACTGACGTTCCTCTGAGGCCAGTTTAGAAAAACAAAGTAATGGGGGGGGGGGGAACTTCACAGCCCTATTGAGGGTGAGTCTTGCAGAATAATACTCCCTTTTAAAATAAGGAAATTGCTTTAGGGGCCATCACTTTTTCTCCCCATAAGCTTGAAAATCACTGGTGAAGAGTGAAAATAATCATGAGAGGAGAGGCATCTTTGCATCTTTTCTTGGATACTTCTGTGAGGGGAACCCATGGGGTGCCCTCCCTGGGGCCCAGGGGGCCAGGCTTGGTGTCGGGCAGGGAGAAGCTTCTCCTCACTGCCCTGCTGTGTTAGGGCCACTTATAGGCACTCACATGAGAACATGCTTTTCTTTCCAATGTGCTTTCAACATTTCACCTATATCAATACCTTCAATCTCCACAGCAATGCTATGACTCTCATGCCCATTTCACAGTGGAGGAAATTGAGATTCAGTATGATGCAGTATTTTCCTCAAGGTCGTGCAGTAAGGTGGCAGAGTCAGTTCTTTTATATTTTTAGATGTTGATCTAAAAACTTTCAAATGGAAAAACTGAAAGAATGGTAGTGTAGTCATCCATACATCCACAAACTAGGTTCATCAGTTATGAACATGTTACTATAGTTATGCATTTATCTTCTGTATATATTCCTGTGAACCATGATAATGCCAGAGACCTCATGACTCATGACACTCAATACCTAATTCATTATGGACAGCTTTGATAATAATTCTCTTATAACCACTAATACCCAGTCTATATTTATTTCTTCCTACTGTCACTGATTCCCTGTGGATGTATCTTTCATAGGAGAGCCCACTCACATTTCACATTTGACATATTTATCCCTGACAGTGTGGTGTTTAAATAAACCACAACAGATGCTTTCCCTTTGTGGTGTTTTTCAGGTAATTTCTAGAGGCTGGTAAACTAAAGGTGACAGGCCAAATCCAGCCCCCTTACTGTTCTACATGTTGTCTCTGGCTACTTTCCTGGTACAACAGCGGATCTGAGTAGTTCCCACAAGACCACACAGTCTGCAAAGCCAAAAATCATTACTATCTGTCTCTTTCTATAATGTTTGCTGACCCCTGAGTTATCCTGTCCCTTCTCTTGACCTAACCTTTAGGTCTTTAGTTACCTGAGCTGGTTGGCATGTAAGCAGACAGCGCAAACAGACATTTGTAAAGAACCACTTATTCATCTCAGATTGTCATTTATTGTTGTCTTCTTATCCCCTTTCTTTTCCCCCATACCACAGAGATACCACAGCTCAACTACTGAGACATACCCAAGTCAAAGAGGTACTCTCTAGGGATAAATTGATTTCTTTTTCTTTTTTTTATAGGGATATTTTTGACAGGGTACACATACTTTTGACCAAATCAAAGTGGTTTATGTAATTGGAGCCACGGAGGGAGCTCGGAGCTGGGTTCCCATTGCTCAACTTTCTTCTCCATGACAAACTGTCCGTGAGGCCCGTCAGCATCTGAGGGTAAAAGGGCCAAGTACACGGGGGTCTTTGCTCCTTCTTCTGGGCTTTTCAAGGCCTCGGGTCCCCCCATGTTGGTTCTCACCCAACCAGGGCAGCAGGAATTCAGGAGTATCTTGTCCCCTGTCCTCTGCTCACTCAGTTTCCGGGCCTGAATTCTGGACAGGACAGTGACACCGAGCTTTGACACTGAATAGGGAGCAAATCTCATATGAGGCCAGCCCTCCTTCATGTGCACTCCATTCTTTGTATCTTCCATGAACTTATTCATGAGCCCCACCAGCTCCTCCTCTGTGATGGTCTCACTTGTAAACTTCTGCTGCAGTTCTGGGCTGCAGTGTTTAAGAGCTACCAAGCTCAGTGTGCTAGAGAGATTCACCACTCTGCCTGAAATTCAACACATAAGTAATTACACAGGAGGTTTGCAGAGGAATGATAAATACCAAAACTGCTGGAATTTTTTCTAGTTGAGAGGCCGTTCCCAGTGTTATGAGCATTAATGAAGATTGCCACAATGAGTGAAGGACATGATACCATCTTGGAACTTGTCATACCATAAAGCCTCAGATGAAGTAGAGGAATGCTATAATGTGGAGTGGATTCTTAGTAAAACTGTGAGTACTCAGAAGTACTGTGAGAAAATGAAAATGGTATATGTGGGAACATGCTAAGGGGAATGCTCATTGCATTCATGAGGAGATAATCTTGTTCCCCCTTGGCTGCCTTTGGGTCCAACTGAGAACCTCACAGCCACATAATCTATCAACAGGGGTCTACTGAGCAGCAGAGAGCTGATTGGTTTAGTGATGGCAGTCCCAAGGCATCTCATTTGGAAGGCTGCTGCTCTGCTCTAGCCAGGGGAGAAACAAATCAGCTGAATGGGCTGAATTGTGTGCATTTTTCTCTAGTTTGGGTCTTTATAAACTCAGGAGCAGTGACTAACGGCCTGACAACACGGTCCCGGGGTGGGACAGTGGAAACGTGGACACTTTAATGGATGCTTGAAAAAGGAATGACCTGCTGCCCCATGCCGCCACACCGATGAGGCTTGAGCACATCGTGACAGAGGCCAATCACAAGCTTCGTATTTATGATTCTGTTTATATGGGATGTCCAGAGCAGTAACATCTGGACATAGAATGCACATTAGTGGTTGCTCGGGGCCAGGAGGAATGGGGGAGCAGAGTGTTGATAGGTAGGGGCACAGGGATTCTTTTTGGGTGATGAAAATGTTCTAATCTTGATTTACTGATGGGTCACAACTGTGCATATGAACTAACACCTTTGAGTTGTGTACATTAAATAGGTGAAGTGTTCAGTATGTGAATTACATCATAATAAGGCCATCAAAAGCCTGTAGTGATGCTGTTGCTCATTAATTGTTTTTTGGACAATGTAGTTCATATTCATAAACATGAATTTATGTTAACATGTGTAAATAGTTTACATTTTCTCTATTTAATGAATTTTTTAGATGTTATAACAAAGTTGTGATACCATACCACCAATAAGAGATCAGGACAATTATGAAACTCTCCCTTTTTAATACAAATATCCAGGAAAGGCTGTCATCAGTATGTAACTTTGACCTCCATACCACTAAAGAAGTGCCCATGCAAAAAATTTAACTAAAAAAAAAATAACTCATGGTAGAATTACTCTTATAAAAAGACCTTTGAGATAATTAAAATGAATTAAAGAAAGTCTCATTAATCTTCCAACAGTCTTCTAAGATGAATGCATTTTAGAAATAGGTCAGTTTCCAGTCCTTCATTTCATCCAGAACACGTAAAGTGTAAGAAGAAATCGAATTTCTTTGTCAATATTTTAGTAATATTCCTCAAAGTTCCTAATAGCATGTAATGTTCTAAAATATCATCTAGCCACTCATAAGAAAAGTAACACACCTTTCATAAGTCAGAAATACAACACACACAAGTGTGTGTAGGAAAAAACAAAGCAAGAAAGAAAGCCAGAGTAGAAAACTGATACACCATAAAGACAGCTACAATTAGTTATTGGGCCTTAAAGCCATTTTTTCATGTACCTTTAGTCTAGACAGAAGACGGAGATACTCTAGCAACCCTCTGTGGGCTGTTTATACTCTGTAAGGAAGTGATGACCTGTATTCTTTTCTATCTATCACAGGAAGTCTAGATCAGCTGTGGAAATACTTACTGTGTGCACTAGGGAAGCCTGACTGCGGAGGCCACAGCCCTTTGTAGGTAAATTCCTGGGTCTGGGGCTGCATCCGGGTCTCCCTTCCCCCCAAGCTGTCCCACCCACTGACCACACCCCCAAGGGGGCAGGGCAGCACCTGAGGCCTCCCCACACAGCTGGGTGAGACTGTAAACCCTTGTGGTCTCACATCTCAGGACAGGAAACCCACAGGAAGCTGGGAGCACTTGGAGGTTAGGCAGCACAGGTTTGGGTCCAAATACTTTTTGTCCCTGGAGTGTGCTTAAGGCGTTCACATGGCATTTCAGGACAGCACACTGGAATGCCCACAGCTACTCTTCTAAGAAACGCTATGGGCCATCATGCCATTACAGGGCTAAGGACATGTGTGTGAAACATTTGCCCTTTAACAGTCACTTCACTTGGAGGTAAAAGCATGACACCCACCCCTTTTACTGGTGGGGCTTTCATTGGATCCAGACCATTATTCTGAATCTGACCAGGTAGTTTTTTAAGGGAGGCCATGTTTTCCTTCAAAAGAGTGAATATGAAAACACACAGGCAATGTACCAGGGCTTGACCCTCAGTCCTGCTCCAGAGATACGTGGGGGAGACTGGCCCCTCTGGGCTCTGCCCCTGCATCTCCTCTTCCCTCCCCAGGTCTACTACCCAGCGCCAGAGCCAGAGCGATCTGGACAACAAGGGGTATTGTAGACCTCATCTCACTACCAGGGGCATACTCTAAAGCTTTACTTGATACGCACAGTCTATTCAGAGGTGATGAGTCCACATCTGCTTCTCTAGACCTTTTCTGATTTCACATTCATCAGAGTCCCTTCTAAGTCCATCTTTTCTAATTCCAACAGTACTTGTACTTAAGTTTCTGGGCTGATGAGAAGTTTTGAAGAAATCCTGCCATGTTAAAATGTGCCCTTTGGGTTTCCCCAAGGTGTCTGGGGCCCTGTACTAAGGAAGACATTGGTCCTAGTCTAGTTGACTTATTTTGTTGACTGTCACCTTGGTGCGACTGAGTAAGGCTTCACCTGAGGATCAGGATCTTTGACGTAAACTATTGGAGGACCACTGAGTAGTAGGAAAAACAACCAGGTTGGATGCCACCTGTGTAAGTCTGCCTCCAGCTGGGCATGTCACCTTGAGATATGTTATGCCCGCAGTTCTTCATCAGTTCAGTATATAAAATGTTTAGCACTTTGCATAATGGAATGTCCATCCACCCATTCTTCTAGATCCAAAAAATGTCAGAGGCCGAAGAGTCCTTTAGAATGATTATCATCCCAGCTTCCTCTAGTGGTTTCTCACAATTTAGGAGCTGAAACGTAGTAGCTTCTTAAGTCAAGTTGGAAAACCTGTTCTTTAAAGGTTTACTTGGTAAGTGTAACTTCAACAAGACTGTTTATTTCCTCCTTAACCTTTTAATGCTAATATGTGATAAAAAAGAGAGTCCAGATTTCAAATGTTTGATTCCTCAGAGGTGGCTTTCCCCCAATATCTTTCAAAATAAATATATATTATAGTTTAAAGAGATAGAAAAATTGCTCTCTACAGCCATTCTTCACACTCAATATGAAGGAGACTTTGGAGGAATAGGAGTGAAATGAGATGGTTAAGGGGGAGGGATTTAAAAAGACTAGATATTGATTGATGGGTTAAGTTCTGTGATAGGTACCTGGGTATTGTAAATTCTTATCTTTTGTGTAGAGAGAGTATTTCAGAATAACTCTTTTTAAAGAAGGGAGAAAACAATAGGAAGAAATCCACATCTATAATCCTTCAATATTCATTGAAGTCACCATAGTCCTTCCTTTTCTCCTTCCATGGAAAAGACAAAACAAAAACAACAACAAAAAATATCCCCAAGCCCAGAACATTTCCTTTTTGGATGTTTTCTACTACCCACTGAGATTTTGTGGAAACCATTCCAGATTGTTCTTTATATCCCAGGTTGTGCAATATGGGCAAGGAGGGCCAGGACTGGACTTTGGTTACATTAGCTAGAAGGTCTGCCAGATCTTTCTCCCCACAGAGGGCAGAAGAAAGTCATGATAACATGAACTGTTGTCCTCAAATAGTGGTAGAACTCTCCTATTTCAAAAGGTTAGAAAATGCTGCTTTCACACATAGAATATCACATGTATTTATATTTCATCGACTCTGGTTTCCAGAGGCAAAATCAATAGGTTGAATAAGCCCTCCCTTAGCAAATCTGGGGGTGAAATCCATCCTCCTCCTTGGCCAGGCTACATAATAAGAGCCACACAGCTCAGTTAATGAAGGGCAATAATAACTAGAAGTCAATAGTATGAGTTCCAAGTGAATACACATGGAATGTGGGGTGATTCAAAAGAACTGCCCTATGAGGCCCTAGTGAACTAAGTCTTAGAAGTAAAAGAACTTTTCTGGAGGACAGCACAGGGAAACGGGGTGGAATTGAGAATAAATGTACATGAATGTTGTCAATTCCAAGCCAGACCTCTTAATCTTTCTAAAGCTCATATTATTTGGTGTATTGAATGGTCGGTGGTTCTCCATCCCATCTCACACCTTGGGATAGGTATTGTAGGAGTTTACTTCCAAAGTAATATGATAGTTTGTTTTGTGCAGACTATTAGTTCTGGTGCAGGAGAGTTAACACGGGCGAAAGGCAGGTTGGATGGCAGAGAGAACTACAAGCCACACCAAGGGCTTGGACTTTGAGGTGAAGTAAGTATGCAGAGAATGCCCAGTAAGGAAGAGCCTCATGAAAGAGGTACCTTGGGAGGGGTTACAGTTGTTCCAAATTGAAAGCTGAGCACCTGTGTACAGCTGGGCTGGAGGAAGAGGCCTGGGGAGAAACTCAGGTGGATAAGCCATGGGATCTGGTTACTGAAAATAGAAAGTGGGCATGGTGGCCTCCAGCATCCTGCGGCTAGGATTAGGTCAGCGAGCAAGATGGTTTTTGAAAAGGATGAATGTGTTCTGGAAATGTTTTAGATAGGGGTATATTCAGGGACAATGTTGGCCATCACAGAAGACGGACAGGCAGTAATAGATACTTGTGTGTCTGGAGTTCTGTAATATGTAGGCAGGTTAAGATGTTTCTCGGAGCCTAATAAATCGGGGAGGTGAAGACATCATTAGCCTGAATAAGACCACTCAGAGAAAGAGGGAGGAGAGAGGGCAGGAAGGCACGCTTAGGGACCCCCATGAGTGCGGGTCAGGGAGCAAGTAAAAGGCCTGTGGGGAAACCTTGACTGAAGAGCTGAGGAAGAGAAAGAGGCAGTTGTGCAGGGAACAGAAGCACCAGTGGTCACACAAGTGTGTAGTCCTGGGAGAGGGGCCCCTGGCCCTGAGAAGACACACCTGGGGACCAGTGTAGCAGAGCATGGAGAGGGGGCAGGGCTGGGGATGAGGTCAGGGGCAGTGGGGCCCGATCCTGCCAGAGACACTCAGTGGGGGCTGCTCACCAGACTCACCTTGAGGTCTCACGAGAGGCAGCAGCTCCATGCAGACATCTCGGGTACCAAAAAAGTTGGTTTTCATTGCCATTTCTGCTTGAATAGGTAAGGGTGTGGGATCATCAACTTTTAGGGGAGAAAGAGAAGAGAGTTACTAAATAGTAGCCCTGTGGTAGAATTCGGTTCAATGATACAAAATTTTCTTTCCTGTGAAACATGGTCCATGGTAAGTAAGGTCTGGGTTCTGTTAACAGTATTGTGTCAATGTCAATTTCCTGGCTCTCTAACGCTGTATAGTGCATAAGTTGGCACCATTATGGAAGGTTAAGTGAAGAGTATAGGGTGAGATTTCTATGACTTTTTGGCAATTTCTTTTTTATTTCCAAATAGGTTAAAAATTCACCAGCCTTTTCTAAAGGCCAATCTGACAGAAAGTGCAGAAGCCTGGAGGAGGTCTGATCCAGCATTCTGCCGTCTTCATGGACAGAAAGTCTTACAAATCTTGGGTTCGGCTGACCCTGATGCCTCGTGTGTGTTCTCCTTCCCAGGGACTCCCTTGTAGGTTCCAGAGGAGCTAATGGTGCCACAGCAGTGGTTCGGGACCAGCCGTAGCCCATCCTGGCTGGACGCTCTCACAGAGGCCCCTCCACATGCACTTACCCCAGAAGCTGATGGCCGCGTTGTTGACCAGCATGTTGAGGCCCCCGTACTCCTTGAGCAGGAAGTCCCGCAGGGCCTGGATGCTCTGCGGGTTGCAGATGTCCAGCAGGTGGAAGCGCGGGCTCAGGCCCTCAGCCTGCAGCTGCTGCACGGCCGCCTGGCCCCGCCCCGCGTCCCGCGCTGTGAGCACCACGTCCCCTGGGAACTGCCGGCACAGGTCGCGCACAATGGCCAAGCCAATGCCCTTGTTGGCCCCCGTGACCAGCGCCACGCGGCTGCAGGACGACATGGCTGGGCTTGGGGGTGTTGGGGGTGTGGTAGGGGAGCCGGGGTGGTGGTGTTTGGAGAGACTGGGCTGTGGGCCTCCAGAACACCTGCTGGGGAGTACTGCCCACAGTCAGAGAAGATGAAGAAAATGAATGGCTTCTGGGAACCCACGTACTAACTCTTAGAGGCCAAAGCCCCGCCCTGGCCCCTCCCTCCAACGTGGGGCAGATTGTTCCAGGTTTCCTGCTCCTCCCACTCTTGGTTTGCATCTGACCGGGGAGGCACCCAGGCTTAACCAGGCACAGCACTTCTAGGACCCTGCTTCAGAGCCAGGAAATGGTCCACGACAGGAGAGGCGCGCTTCCCCACCCCAGCCCAGGTCGGTGACGGCTCAGTAGGAGGTAGAGACTCTAGGCAATTGAAGTGAAACTGTTTTGGGAAAAGGCAAGCAGAGAAAGAGGATGCAGAGCAACTGCCTGGTTTGGGACCCATCACCCTGCAGAATGCGTTTGCTTGGTTTCCCTAAATCCCGATGTTTTCACCTGGACAGGGTAACTGCTTCTGAGGACAGTGATCCCCTTGCTTTCTTAAGAGAAACTCATGACAGAAAATTAGAGAAAGTACGTCCTGTGATTAGACTTTCACTGTGGGCTGGGCCTCTCTCACTGTGAGTCCAGGTGTCCCCCAGGAGGGGAGGGGGTGTTTATGAGCGCCTCCTGTGTGCACGAGCCTTTTTGTTTCGTGGACACATACTCTTTAAGTTTGCTAAAAATCCAACCTTTTGATTTCTTCCTAGGTCAGAGTTAATAAGTCATAGATATAGTTATTTTTAAGGTATTAAAAGAGAAAAAGAAAAGCATCTTTGTGATACAAGAATACATTTCTGAACCAGCAGTTGAGATGCTATGATCCTGACACAGACACGGACGACCCTCTGGTGTCAGTTTAGACAAACAAATTAAAGGGAAGGAAATTCTGTAATACAGATGATCCTCTGAAACCTGACTCAAAGCCAGTTTGACTGAAGTAGCTATTTTAAAAGACAAACTGCTGGGCTGCATTCCTAGGGAAGGGGTGGGGGCCTACTCCCCTCGCCTCAGCCTGCAGGCTGGCAATCCCAGGACTGCAAGAATATTTACTGAATCTGCAAAAACTCAAGAAGACAGGATAGAATTCCACCCTCCCCCTGGCCTAATGGGCAGGGTGAGGCAACTTTGGTAGACCAGCTGCTGGAATGTTGTCCACTACCCACTACTTAACCCCTTTTGTAAAACTCATTTACTCGCCGAGCTGCACTTGTCCCAGTCGTTCCCCCACACCTGGCCTGTTGGTTTCCTCACAATTCCCAGGAATGCGTTTCTTTTACATCCTTCCAAGAAATTCTCATAACAAATTCACATCCCTGTTGAGGCTGAAACTTGTAAAATAAACCTCACTTTTATTTATTTATTTATATTTAAAAATTTTTTTGCTTTTATATTTTGTTTGTATCATTGTGGATTCATGGTGGTTCTGGTTTTCTGCTGCTTTTTGTTTTAGTCCAATGTGTTTTACTCCATTCCTGTCATATTCCTTTTTTTATTATTATTACAGTATCATTGATATGCAATCTTATGTTGGTTTCAAATGTACAACACAGTGGTTCAACAGTTATCCATCTTATTAAATCCTCCCCCCCTCTAGTGGGGTCACTATCAACATAGTGAGATGTTACCGAATCATTAACTGTATTCTCTGTGCTGTACTACTGTCCCTGTGACCACCTTATATTGTGATTGTGAATTATTGTGCCCCTTAATCCCCTTCCTGCCCCTCCCCCTACCTCCCCAACTTCTCCCACCTTAATAAGCACTAGCCCCTTCTCAGTGTCTATGAATCTACTGCTATTTTGTTCTTTCTGTTTTGCTTTGAATAAGCCTCACTTTTAAATAATGGCTCTACCCTTGCTTCAGAGGTCATCTCCTTTCTGGCAAGCTGGAAAATCCCTGGTGAGAGTGAAAAATCATCCTGAGAGTAATATCCAATCCATATTCCGTTTTCTCCATTGTCTCACATTCCTTTAGGATGAATCTTTCATACAGGAGACTATTCCCATTGTACATTGCTATTGTTTTTATCCTAATCAGTTTGGTTTTAAGGAGAACACACAGGTTGTTCAGGTAGTATTAGAGGCTAGTAAAGTACAAGCAGCAGGCCAAACCCAGCCACCCTCGCTGGTTTATCTATTGTCTCTGTGTACCTCTTTGCTGCAGCACCAGATCTGAGTAGTTCCAACAAGATCATGTGGCCTGCAAAGACACTAATACTTATTATCTTGCTATTTCTATAGTGTTTGCTGATTCCTGAGTTATCCTGTCCCTTCTCTACCTAACTTCTAGGTCTATTAGATACCTGACCAGTTTGGCATATAAATAATCTACACAAGTGGACATCTATGATGATGCTTAATCATCTAAGATTTTCAATCATTTTTGTCCTCTTCCACTTGTCCATCATGTATATCACTGAAGATTGATAGCCCACTGAATACCCCACAGGCAGATTTGCTTATTTGCTTGTTTGGATGAGAGATGTTTCTGACAGTCTAAATATCCTATTGGTCAAATCATGGCAGTTCACACATTTGGGGCCACAGAGGGAGTTCTGAGCTGGGTTCCCATTGTTCAACTTTCTTTCCCATGACAAACTGTTCCTGAAACCCCTCAGCAATGGAGGTCAAAAGGGCCAAGTACATGGGGTCTCCCCTCCTTCGTCCAGGCTTTTGGTGGCCATGGGTACCCCCGGGTTGGTTCTCACCCACCCAGGGCTGCAGGCATTCAGGAGATCCTTCTCTCCCATCTTGCTTGCTCAGTTTCTGGGCCTGGATTCTGGACAGGACTGTGATGCTGAGCTTTGACCCTGTTTATGAGGCGACATTCTTATAAAGCCAGATCTCTTTCAAGTGCCCCCCATTTATTGTATCTTCCATGAACTTGTTCATGAGCCCCACCAGCTCCTCCTCTGTGATGGTCTCACTTGTAAACTTCTGCTGCAGTTCTGGGCTGCAGCATTTAAGAACTATAAAGCTCAGTGTCCTAGAAACAGACCCCCTGCCTAATTCTATGCATATTGTTTCATAGATGGGTGTGCACAACAGTGAGAAACACCAGAATTGGTAAGATTTTGTCATTTGAGAGACAATTACCAGTTGCTTTGAGGATTAATGGAAACCTCTTCTACGTGTGAAGGACATGATACAGTCTTGAAATTTATCGTATTGTTATGTCTCAGATGTGAGTGTAATACAGAGGCTTACCCAAAAACTCCATAAGAAAATGAAAACGGATTTTACAGAAGAAAATGAAAGTGGTTTTTACAGAAAGTGCTACCTGGAATGTAAGGACTGTGAGAAGTGGTACCTTCTCAGACAAGGTTAAAAACATTGTCTTTAAAGGTTATATGGTAAGAGTAGCCTTAAGATCTTTTATTTCTGCCTTGTACTTTCCAAGCTGCTATATGATGAACAAGAAGGCCCAGATTTCAGATGTTTATTTGATTCATCAGAGATGTTTTTACCCTAAGTTCTTTTAAAAATAAGTGCATCGTATAATGTCAAGAGAAACTGCAGAATAACAGCCTACAGCTTTCTTCAAACTGAGGACGAATGTGACTTTCGTGGAAGGAAAGGGAGATGAGGTGACCAAGCCACGGGATTTGAAAGGCCTCAGGAGAGATTGGTAAACTCTGTGGGGGGCACCTGAACATTGCAAAGCTTATCTTTTTTGTGCCTAAAGTATCCCAGTAAAATTCTCTTTAAAAATGGAAAGAAGAGGTGTAAAAAGAAACCTATCAGTTTCCCTCAGCACTTCTTAAGTTCACTGTAAGGAGACCCTTTTTCCATTTCCCCTTCTGCATCCAAAATCAAACTGCACCTTCCCAATCTGGATATTTTCTGCTCCTCACATAGATTATGTGCAAACACTCCAGATTGTTCCTTGTATTCCAAGTTCTGAGATATGGGGGAGGAGGGACAGTATTTGCTTTTGGCACCTTAGCAAGGACTGCTCCCAGGTTTTCTCTCCAGAGAGGGCAGAGGAAAGTCAAGATCCTATGAACTGCTGAGGCTGCCCTTCTCCCTAAGTCATGGGAGGACTTTGTTCTCATATCTAGAATACTGCATGTATTAATATTTCCATGAACTCTGGCTTGTAAGGCAAGATTGATGCTTTGATTACAGTATTTGACTACAGATTTGCCTTAGCAAATCTGGGGGCGCACACCTTTCTCTTTATGGAGCAAGGCAACACGAAAGAATGAACACGGCTCTGTTAAGTAAGGTACGGGTTCAAAGAGGAATACATGTTGATCGTGGGCAGTGTCACACGGCCTTCCATTCCTACCCTCAAGAGTAAAGGAGTCACGTGATGCTTGAAAGAGCTGACCTTTGAGGCCTTAGTGAACCAATGTCATAGAAGAACTGGTTGAACTTTCCAGAGGACAGTACTGGGAAGTGGGCCAATCTGAGAGTAGACTGTACATGATTGTCATCAATTCTAAGCCAGACCTCCTAATCTTTCTAATCCTATCTGCTTGTTTTAACTGGTGCATTTAATGGGTGGTTCCCAGTCCCCCCCCCAACCTTAAGGTAAGTATTGTAGTAGTTTTCCAGCAAGTAATACAATAGTTTGTTTGTCTAGAATATTTGCACTAACATGAGCTTTCAGGTAGGCAGGTCAGATGACAAAGAGATCTACAGTCATGCTAATGGCTTGGACTTTGGGGCTGCGGTGGGGGGAGTAAGCATGCAGAGCGTGCAGACAATGCCCAAGAAGGAAAAGACTCAAGATGTGTCCTTAGGAGGGTTTATAATTGCCCTGAAATGACAGCTGACCGTGTACTGTAGGGCTGGAGAGGCTTGGGGAAAACTGAGTGGGACAACTCTTAGGATCAGATAAATGATAATAAGTAAGAGTCATGTTGTCTTTGAGGGTCCTGGGCCAAGGGCGGTGAGCCAGCGAGCCAGGCGATCTGAGGAACGGATGAGTGTTCTTGGAAGTGTTTTAGGTGGAGTGACTCAGCTGAGATGGGTGGACGTGAGGGGGAGGAAAACAGGCAGGAGGAGAAATATGGGGCTCTGGGAGTGTTCTAGTCAGGTGATACAGCTAAGGCAAGGCAAATAAACTGGGGAGGTTACGGCTCTACTAGCCTGAATAA